GGTAGATGACCGATGAGGTATTTATTGGTGTTACGCAGGTGGTCTGCAACTGAATAAAATAAAATTAAAGTTTATTTCTGCTCGCATTTTTTTCATTTTACTTTGCATATCTTGATTTCTTCAGCCCCGATGGTGGGCCTAATGATTTGCCGCAGCTAGAATAGACAACGGAGATTTCGCAAACGCAGATTGCGGCGGAAGATTGTACTCGCGCGTACGTACACGCACCAATATCCGGACGCGACTGGTTCGACGTTAGCGCAACTGGTGCCATCGAGCGAGCGCTGCTTAAGACTGCTGTGTGCGCGTCTCCTCGACGCATGCCATTATTAGGAGACGCGTTGCAAACGTGAGTAGAGCTCTTTGCTAGTATTACTTTGTGATTGACAACTGTCAAAGCCAGCTATTGCAACAAGCAGAAGCGGCCGTGGGTCTGTACTAGTACCGTGCCGGCTTCACGTTCGGTGGAACGTTTCCGCATTGTTTTAAATGAAATCCTGGTGGCGACGAATTTTTTAACGCTTATTTGAAGCATTTGACAATACCAACCCGGCTCTTCCTGGTCCCTTGATATTTCACGCCCACCCCCATCCCCCTAAACTAAAGGTGACATTCCAAGCCTCGGCTGCGAAACAATAGCTTTGTCTTCCCTTTCCGTTCAGTCAGTCAAAAATGCAGAGGAGGCTTAGCTGCATTGTCCAACTTCCTTCGACCTCGCCTTTTAAATGAGGGGTATAACTTCGTTTTCCTGGACCTTTTGTTTGTGTTGATGTGCGCTGCCCGAGCCGGATTATGAATGTATCACGAATTACATGGTATCGCTCTTTTATTTGTAAGTACACTGCAAGCGTTCTTCTGATAGCTCTCTTGCTTCCTCTCGATCCCCTCAGTCATTCGTGTTTGATTGAGTTTTGCTAGGCGGCGTGAAAACAGTGTTAGTAATATTTTTCATTTGCGTTTCGTTTTACACAGGTATCACTTTTGGAAATGTGTCGAGAACAAGGTGTGTGTAATAATAGGTTTAATCAATTTCTAGGAGCAATCAAAACAAGTTTGTTTGTACGTGTATTTTTCGCACGATATTGTGCCAATGCAAGGCCGGTTGCGAAACGACAGTACGCCAATACTGGCACGATACTGCCAAATATCACCGTGCTCCTAGGGAACGGAGATGATGACGTTTGACCAACGTGTTTCGAACGACTATTAAATTAAATTTTGTTCTGGATCGTGTGAAAGAGCAGTTTTATGGCGCACCAGGAAAATGCCAAACTTCGGCAGGCCTTTGGGATTTCTTTGGTACTTTCGTCACATATCTGGCACTCATGTGGCTAGCCAGAGAAAAGCCGAACTTTGTCGTACCCCGAAATCAAAATTTAGGATTTACTTTGGTAGTTATGGCACTTTCCTTTAGCGCTCTTGTGGCAGACCAGAGGAAAGCCAAACTTTTGCACGTCCGGGAATCCCAAACTTAGGATTTAGTTTCGCAGGTATGGCTCAAGTATGGCACTTATTTTGGCATTCCTGTGGCGACCCCGAGAAAAGTCGAACTTTGGCCCGTCCGGAATCTTCAAATTCGGGTATACTTTGGCAGTTATGGCTCAAGTATGGCAGTTACTTTGGTACTCCACAGAAAAGCCAAACTTTGCCATGCTCTAGGATCGCCCAACTAGGGCTTTAGTTAGGCAACGTACTTTGGCGCTCACAAGCGCCGTGGAGCAAAACATAACTTAGCCCATGTTTGGCCCTTATGTTTGCCACAGGTTTGCACAAGTTGGGCGTTTTTCTGGCATGCCACCTGCGAAATGAATGCGATAAAATCTTAGATTTCTAAGACATTTTCAATGAACTTTGTATTTAAACACCCCATTATATCTGTTTTTTACGCTTGGTAATTGTCTTACTTTGATTGTGTTGATATGCAACTTGTGCAGGGAGTTTTTTGCGATGCATTTCAACCGTGAATTGTATCTGAAAAAAAAAAGAAAAAATACAGGCAATTGTAAGAAATTCTGATACTCCTCCAAACTGGAAGTCCCCCCGACTTAATCACTGGTGGTGTCATGTCGCCTCCAGATGCTTCCAACCCTTATGTCGTGATAGAATCCAAATAGGGACCCGTGGGAAAATTGAGGCGATTGTATTGTTAGGGAGAGTGTTTACGTTATGCACGTTATGCACGGCAAACAAGCAATCGTCGGCCCCTTTGTACAATCTAAAAAAAAATTGTGTGAGCTCGCTTTCAATCAGAGCAGAATGGCTACAGCCAATCACGGGGAACAACACAGATTCCAGAATAGACAAAAAAATTTGCTCAGGGGAACTGAGCATCACGTTTCACTTGCTCACTGTCCCTGCCCATATTGCATTTCTCGGGTCTAATCGTCTTCTATGCACCGTCAATTGCCGGGATATTTTTTATTTTTTGCCGTGATCGACTGTCTCCGTGTTCCAAAGGAAATTGACCTCAATTGACCTGGGCGCGTCATGAAGCGGCGGATGCGATGTCTTGCGTGCCTAATCTTGCCAGGCTTGGTTCGCAAACGGCACGCACCTCCACGGCCGCCGCGTTCATTTTCATGCGAATCTCGACTATTCTATTCTTCGTTTCAACTTTAGTCAAGGCACATCCGATGCTACAAGCGTAAGCATGTGACCTTGAACAGTGCTTGTACTATACGAGCTCGCGTGCTTGGCAGGGACGCTGAAAGTCGCTCTTGTAGCTTCTGCTACATTCACACTTAAAGTGAAAAAGGGTATACGTTTGTTTGCGGAAGAGCGATTTGAGGGAGAATGACAATCATGATGGAGGTGGAGGCCAGCAAATAACATACCGAAAAAGAGAATTACAACGTCATTCCGACCTTCAAAAATAGTCTCCGACATTTGATACTAAGCATGACGAAAACGTGTGAGACGTCACTTCGCATAACTGTCTGTATTATTTTTTGAAAAAAAAAAAAAAAGTTTTCTGCCGCTTTTGTTAGCCGAGCTTTATTCGTGCCCAGCTGCGATACTTTTCTACGCGGGCGCCGCCACCTTGGATCGAGGAATTTCCAGTATGCGAGAAAACATCGTTTTGCTCTCGTCACACCACTGGGCGAAGCTCACCGTTTTAATCACGACTCTCTATTTTTTTTATTTTTTTTTTTTACTTTTTGATATTTTTTTTTTTTTTTTTTGCTTGGGACAGATGACAATGCTTTCCATTTTTGTTTTTTCCACCCTGCATACCAGAGTTGTCAATTACGTGGCTGGAGACGAGGGTAAACGAAAAAGTTTTACAGACGCTGGAAATTAAGAAACGAAGGGCGGGGCGATTCCATAGCACCTTAATATCGCTCGCAGCCAATCAATTGCGGGATTCAATGATAACCACGTTGAAGAACGAGTCACAACGCAGGAAGCGTGAACATTAGCAGTCACGCGTTCCGCTATTTAGGCGGTCACTCTAAGAAACTAGAGTGACCGCTCTCCCGAAACAAAGCCAACCGCTAGCACACTCTAAAAAACGTCTCTGCGTCTACTTTCATGCACAACACTCGTAGAACCAATCAGCGCAACTTACAGAGGAAGCTCAGCGAATGACGATGCCGAAGCATCATCTGTTTAGACGAAAAAACGCAGACTGAGTTGTGACATTAAGCAATGCAAGCGTGACGTTTTGCACTGCTTAATGTCACAGCTCAGACTGCGATTTTTGGTCTAAACATATGTTTCGGCATCGTCATTCGCTGAGCTGCCTCCGTAAGTTGCGCTGATTGTCTCTCCCATAGGCTCTCCGAGTGTTGTGCGTGAAAGTAGACGGACAGACTTTTTTTGGAGTGCACTCGAAGAAATTCCTGCGCGTCTACTTACCCGCAAAACACTTCAATCCCGGCGACCTACAAATCAGCTCAGCGAATGTTAAGGCGGAACATCCGTTTAGACCTAAAAATGAAGTCTGCGCTATGGCATTACGCAATGCAAAGGGTCATGCTTGCATTGTGTAATGCCACAGCCCAGGCTTAATTTTGAGGTCTAAACAGATGTTCCACGTCATCATTCGCTGAGCTGATTTCGTAGATCGCAGAGATTGGCTCTCTGAGTGTTTTGCGGGGAAGTCGCCGCGCAGGTATTTCTTAGAGTGCTGCAATGTGCGGACGGCGCTCGGCGAATGAAGAGGCTGATAATATGTTTGGACCCCCAAAAGCGGTCTGCGCTGTGCCGCTGTGACACTGTGCATGGGGAAACGTGATGCTCAGTGCCACAGCGCCGATAGGTTCTCTAGTTTTAGGTTTAAATGTTGTATAAGTTCCTTTATTCGCGAAGCGACCTCCGCACACTGCAGCAAGTGCGTTCAGGCAGAGCAGGCGCTCCAGATCTCTTAGAGTCTTCTTATAGACTGTGTCTACTCTATTCCGTCGGCGCCGCCAGATTTGTTGACGCTGACGCCATGACATAGTAAAGGGGGGGGGGGGGGGGGGGGGGCGACGCTTTTGCAGCACTCCGTTTTTTTTATAAGCCTTTGCGTATATTGTAGTGCAAGAACGTCAGAAACGCATTGTCACGAAGCTCCAAGAACAACTCTGATGCCAAGAGTTATGTGAAAAGCGAAATTTGTTCTCATGCGAATGCCCTTGTCTTCACATACGCGGTTGATATTATCATTTTTCCATCTTTATCGTTTGGTGTTAAGATTTCGGACACTGGTCTATGCGGAGCGAAAGTTCGTCTGCTTCTCGAACGGGGGTTACGATGTTACCAGAACACCTAGCTCTTATTGGCTGATCGATAAAAGCAGTGGGTAGACCTCAAGGCATCTGGCACTGAGGTATACCTACAATCCTTTTTACCAGAGCCAATCAGAGCTCGGCATCATTCTGACGTCACCGCAACTCCTCCGCAGGAAGCAGACGATTTGCTCTCCGCATAGCTTTTGAAGTCTTCAGCGAAAATGTAGACACACATCCACGCTTTTTTTTAGAGTGCATTTCATCTCTATACGTATACGTCGACAGGTACCCGGGAAGAAGACAGCCCTGGACCACCCGGCCAACCCCCGCAAGCCATGACGGCGTTCGTGATTTCGACCGGCGAAGCCCTCCCGCCGGTCCTCAAGGAGCACACGTACGACAACGGAGGGTTCGTCAACGAAAGGTGTTCGCGAAACGCCGCACACAACGCGCTTCCTGGGCAGGGCAACGCGGCCCGCCACACCAAAGAGTCGCTCCAGGTGAAGACGACGGGCCAGGGTTCAGCGGGACCAAAGGACAGGCGACTTCTTGCACGGTTACGACGGAAGGCGTGGCTTTTGCCCTTGTTCCACACGCAGTTTTGGGTGTCGGCTGCCTTTTCCTTGATACAGCCCTTTTATCCTCATCTGGTAAGTGATCCAGCTATAGGAGATATGCCTAAGAATGCGCACAATTATGGATCTCTGGTGTAAGACGTCTAAAATTGTCAAGTTCTTTCTGGATTCAGAAACTCGACGAGCATCGTCACCAGTTCACCTGTAAGGAATCGAAGAGTAAATTACGTGTACTAGATTGAACGCGGCGCAACACTGCATTTCTTCTTTCAAGACAAATCCCGGACATTTTGCTGCATTGCACAATTGGCAAATACTAATACTTATAGTAACGATAAAAGTTACGAAATTACTTTTTTTATGTCGAGTTTGTTCGACATTACTATTCACGATGTCTATCAAGACGAGGAAATATCATTTACCTTCCCCGGTAGCTTTAAACGTTTTGCGTAATAATTACGGTGTATGATAATTTTATATACTTTTGTCTTATATCTTTTGCCTTATGTATTAAGGCTCACAATTCAATTTCACGTCCGAAATAACGTACTGAGTGGAAGCTTTATAAACGTACTTGATATTTGTTAAAGTTTATGCGGGCTGACAAGGAAATAGGAAATCTCGCACGGCAATGACAAACAACGCGAAAAGACTTTCACGTTTTCGTGATCATAGGCAGTTACGAAGCGGGACCCCGTGATGTGAAAGCTAAGTGCTTCTGATCAATGTACTCCCGTGACTGCAATAGTGAAAGGCGACCTAACGGATGATCGGGTTTAGTCATCCTTAATCATTTAATTATTACTAAGAACTTTCAGCGTAGCACTGTGCGATAATGGAACAACAACAACAACAATATATATATATATATATATTCTCAAAAGACGACTTAGGCCGTCATAATATTCCATGCCCGGTCGTTTTATGAAGTTCAGTAATTAATAATAAAATCAATAATTGACTATTTGTAGTCTGTATGTATTGATCGCAGGAACGCCATCTTTGGAGAATATGCACGAAAGTCGGCTGACAGGTCTCTTAAAGACTTTCACCCGAAGAATGCGTAAAAACAACGCTGAATAATATGGTTTAAATCAATGAGAGATGAATGTGCAACTTTTGAAATGTATCTTATTTTTCTTGAAAAGGCCGCAGACGCTGGCCTTGAGGCCTGGAAGTATGGATTCGTTTTCTCGACGTACAAGATGGCAATGCTCGTGGCATCCCTTTCCGCGGATCGGTTGGTGAGTTTTGTTGTTGTCGTTCTTTCTAACTGGGGGGGGGGGGGGGGGGGGGGGGGTTTGTTTGGCCGAATAACGATTGCGAATGCCACTTCCGCTTGTTAGTTGCAGGTACTATCGGAAAGCTAAAACCAATTGACCTATCAAATTCAATTAGCAAAGTTTAGTTAATAAGACTATTAATTGTGACGCTTATCCTCTAATATATGTTTGCCAAGTACACTACACACGCAGTGTGTATATATACACCGGACACCCCTCTCCTAAAAAAAGCCTGTTAGATTAAAGAAATCAAACACCCTGTATTTATATTACGGATGTCCTCTATCACTCAAAGTTATAGGTCCAATATAAGATCTTTAATTTACCTCCATATGCAATATAAAACAGGACGTGGAACGAGGACTAGCACGGAGTTATTTGGCACTATTTAGCTTCTTAGTACAACGGCGTAGTACAGACAAACTAAAGCTAAAGAAAAACTTATATAGGGGAATTTAAAAAAAAATTATTCAGGTCTAAAAAAAAATTGTGTGAAGAAGCCAATAAACGCAGAATAATAAGAACAGGCGCAAAGGTATCTTTAGGTGGTGCATTTGTCCTAGTCAAGTTTTGTGAGTACGTATTTGGAAAGAAACGCTAGAAGAAGCAAACTTGTTATTTCCTATGTGCAGAAGGAAGACAGGCAAACCTCCGGGTTGACGCTCCTGCTCACGTATGACACCGCATGGTACAAACACTTGAAAGCTTCTTAGAGATGAACACCCTAAAGCTGATTCAGCAGATTTGAGGGTGTGTGGCACCATATGTGAGTAGCAGTGTTGATTAGACGGTTGACTTCTGTTTTCTTTTCGCGCATAAAAAATAACATTTTTTTTCTTTTCTAGGATTTTATTTAAACTAAAATTAAAGAAACTTGAATATGATAAAATGCACCACCTAAAGTCAACAATATTAAAAGTTTCATCACTCTAGGGTGATTGGATCATTTATACGACTTTTCTTACAACCAAATGGAGCTTGGTTACACCCTGTACGTTGTTTCAAACTGGGTTATCGCCATGATGATTCTTCCATCCATCCTTAGATGAACGTCGCTTCCTCATTTGAAGACGTCAAAAAACGTTCCGCTCTCTTTTTTTGCTTCATTGGTTTTGGAATGCCTTCACCGCCTGAATGTCGGGGAACTTTGGCGAAGCTATGAGCTAATTCAATTGTGTTCCCGGCGATTAGATAACAACCCTCCAAGAAGGAAACGCGGCCTTTTGGAGAGGCGAAACACCGCACAAACGCCGCGTTTCCTGATTCGAGTGTTCTTATCCGCCCTTTGAAAATACAAGCGAATTGGCTCGCGTCACTGTCAAAGAACGCGGTCAAATCTTCGAAAACATCTTCACATTCAGAAGACATAAAAGTTTTTTTTTGTTTTTTTTTAAACTGTAGGGGTCGCAGATTGTATATATTTAGAGCACTTTTAGCACGAACACGGAGGCCATACCCGGCGTTTTCTAGGCTGTCAATGACTGTGTATAGTACCACAAGTTGAGTATTGGAATCTGTTAGTGGGGGACCGACTTGGATACTAATGTTAAATCTTACGCGCTGATTGGTATGGGTAAACGGTATGGTCACCGATGGATGTCACGTTCGCGATAGGTGTGTGACGGATTGAATCTGCATTATAAGTTCTAAAACAACGCTAATCACTGTCACGAAAGCGTTTCCTTATAAAAGAAATGGGATCAAATGTATCTCTTCTGCTCAGGTTATTGAAGAAGAGCAACTTTGTGTGCTCCTCAGAAATATCCGTTCGTGTAATTTTTTTAACCCTATTCTCACTGACAATTTCATCCGATCTCCGGAAGACGCTCGGCGATGTACGAGGCCGGAAAAAAAAAAAAAAAAAAAAAAAAAAAAAAAAACGTTGGTTTACTTAAACATGAAATCCGCAAAGTTGTGCACCGAGTAAGTCGTAGGTCCACAAAGCATCGTACTCGGAGCCACACATCGCACACTCTAAGAAATTTAGAACGTCAAGTTTCCCGCATAGGACTCGAAAAAAAAAAATCCAGTCACTGCACTAACCGGCGAAAAACCGGCTAATAACGGAAATGAAAATACGTTTACAACTAAGAAAAAAAAAGGTATGTGTTGTGACATTTACTATGATGTTTCACCATGTTGAGTGAAGCCGCTTTTTTTTTTTTTTTTTTTTGTCGAAACATATTTTGGTTTTAACATTTGCCAATCACTTTTCTTAGATTGCGGCGATTGGTGCTATGTGGGAAAATAGGCGATTCGAATTTGTTAAAATGCATAATAGTCCTTTTTTGTTTTTTGTGAAACATGTTGGCATCCTGATTCGCCGAGGCTTAACCATATAGATCACATCGATAGGCTCTCGCAGTGCTCTCCGGTAACGTAAATGCTCGGGATCCTTTTTTTTCATATTGTATGTCACGGTCAATGAACATGTTTAACATTATTTCCGCCTTTATGAGTTCGTCACTGAACGACTCCCTGACACTCCCGATGCAACAACAGCCCAAGAAAGCGAGGGAGGGTCTTAACATGTTCACATTTCTTGCTTCGGGATTTCCTCTTCGTCGTTCTTATCGAAAAATGCAGCAAACTGAATGGCTGCGGAACGAAAAATAAGACGCTCGGAACTTAACATACAAGAGTCCATGTTCACCCTTTGTCCCCACCGTGTCTGAAATCCGCGAGGAATAAACTGGTTTAGTGTTGACTGAACACTATAATACCTTTTCCAGGAAAGTACGCGCCAACGCCTGTCCACCACTGCTTCATCACGTACTCTGAGCATGTATTCGACACGAGGGCTACGTCACGTTCGGCGTGAACTCGGCTCAGCTCGTGTTCATAACGAGTGCTGACGGCACCGTTTGTCGAGGACTCGGATCCAACCATGCGCTACGCTTTCAATGGATGAATGGATGGATAGATGTAAATGGCTATACCCTTTGCAACGGGCGGTAGCTTGTGCCACCTAGCCTAAGCCTATAGAAAGACAAACTAATGATTCCTCCCACCTTTCTAAAGCAATGGCGACCATTAATGTTGCTTCATGGACTTTTGAAAATGGTCTAGTGTTCTAAATCAAGGAACCCCTTTTTAAAATTAAACCTTATAATTAAAAAACAAATTGTTCATCCGTTCGTTTCTGCAGTTCTCCGCAAAATTTAGCTCGAAAAGGGACGTCAAGTGACGGCATTGTATTACGTCACAAAACGACTTGGTACTGCGACGTCATGTCAGGTTATGATGCCGAGATGTTAGGTCACGTCATGTTGGGTTTTCGCAAAGTTTAGAGGCAAACTGAGATCCTATAACTTGGTCCCGTGACGTGATATCGCTTTGTCAAATAGCCGCGTATCGTGACCTGACGTTACGTGACGTGGTCACCGGAGGTCACATCACGTTGTCAAGTAATGTCGTGAGGTGCAACCACAACGTCACTTCACCTGTCCTTACGGTGTGACAACTTACCCGCTGGTTGTAGCGGGGAATATATAAAGACCATGTTCCTGTTCACTCTACGAAACCGACCGTTTAAACTATTCTAAACACATATAAAGGGTAGCTTCTGGAATAGTGAATACCATACCTTTTAGAACTTTGGAATGAAAGGTCGGTGCCAATTATTCTATCCTGCCTCCTCCTCTCGTCTCATTGTGCTCGGTGATGGATACTTTATTAGCTTTTTCTTTAACATAGAAGCAGAAGGAACGTGCGAGTAATTTGTGTTTTTACAGAACGCGTGATATATATGTGAGGTAATTTACAAAGTTAACTTTACTTAAAACTATGGAAATACCCTCCGTTTTAGATTTTCAGACTAATTACCAGATCTGAGCGTACCCAAACTCAGCATTTTAGTGCCTTGTTGGCTTTCGTATTTACTCTTAAAAATTGCTTTTAGCACATCCGAATCCAATTTTATTACGCAACTGAAAAACTAATTAAACGTAATCATTTTAAACTTCTTTTTTTTCTCAGATGAATCTCCTTTCTCCTCTTAAAGTATGGTTCATCGGACTGCTTGGCTTCTTTGTATTCACTTTGGTTTTTGGGTGAGTGTCTTACACTGCATTACACTGTATAGTTGTAGTGTACTACGCGAGACTTGATTCAGTTTTGTTTGTTATACACGGAACGGTAGTAAAATCTTCAGTTCAAGTCATTGCATTTCGCGATTACCCCCTTCTTTGTATGTATCAATGCAAACAAAGGACGTAATGAATGATATTGTTTCTATTGTATTCCCCTCCCAGAGCACTCTATTGGTCTCCCGGCGGCAATATTTTGCTTGGGCTTTCTCTCGGATTGGTTACCGCGGGAGGCTTTACTCAAGTGTTATACATTGTAAGCGTATACTCTGTGGTCACCACCAGGTTTCCCCACAGCACGGGTCTCATCATTGTAAGTATATTTTTGTAAGTGTGCATTGCTCACCTTCGAGTTAATAGTGTGTGAAGTGTTAATATCAAAAGAAAACAAAACTTGATCACATCTATCTGCAAAGTATGCTGGCTTGCAGAAATACAGGTTTCTAGTTGCCTTGCGCAGTCAAAGACCTTTAATTCCTAAATTAACCAATGGCGCTGCCCAAAAACGTACGAATAAATGAATCAGAACCGGTGCGTGTCAAGGGATCCCAGATTTTCATAAGATGGTCTACGCTATAGGGTGTTTCATTGAGTGGTAAATTATGATTCAACCTCTAAGTGCGCTTTGAGAAATGCATAGGCCAAATCAAATATTTTTATTTCACATTAGGTCACAATGCATACAAACAGTCTGTCCAATCGTGTCTGCTTGTTTCCCGAATCCCTGTCCTTAGTGCTGTGAATTTTATTTACGTTTACATTTGTTTTCGGAGCTCAGCGCTTCTTTTTTTTTTTTTTACCTCTAAGGCAGTGGAGACGCAAAAAGTACCACAAGTGTCTTGTTTTGAAAGAAAAGTAAACTTGAGTAATAAGTGCAACTATATGTAACTAGCTGTATTCCAAGTACTGTTCGGAAAAAACGGGCAAAAATAATGCAGAAAAAGGCTGAACGAAACAGTGACCAGGGAAAAATGTACATTCAAGATATGTACGTTCCCAGAAATAGATAGATTTAGATTTTAGATTTATTTATGGAGCTCCCAAACAGCTTAAAGGCCTAAATAGAATTGCGCGTACAGATAGTCTATAGCAATAAAAACAAAATAAACATGTATGGTAACAACCTAATGAGCAATCATTGATCGCACATATTTTTTCAACATTTCATTACGCATAGAAACTTGATATCAACATTATTTGACTTGTCATAGAGATGTTGCGCACGAATCTCAGGAGTTTGAGATTGTGAGGAGCGTGGGTAAAAATGTATCTTATACCTATTTTTTTTCGTCGGGGAAAACGAAACAAAATCTAACCGAGTAACAAAGGGGAGTCAATAAGAGCATTGGGCACTTTGTACAGTAAGACTGAATCACGAACTAATCTTCTTTCAGGAAAAGGCGAGAGACGAAGAGTTTCTCTAGGGCTTTCTAGTTCTTGTCGGCTTCCGAAACGCGGAGCGCGGTGATTCCAGAGCATCCAAATATCGCTTCGTTGACAATAAGACTGCGAGTAGTAATTACCAATAAGAAAGAAAAAGAAGGAATCATTAGGAAACAATAGTGGGGATAATGCACCACACCGTACTTTTCTGGAGTTGTCAGTGACTGCGGTCTTGTTTAGGCTCAATTGAAATAGATTCACCCACACTTTTCTTGATTGCAGAGGTTAGACCCCATGTGTTTACAATGCGGAGTTATTGTGTTTTTTTCAGGCATCGTTCGAATGCGTGTGGGGAGTTGGAAACATGGCAGGGTCAATCATCGGCGGAGTCTTGATCGACGTGAGTTTCGACCTCCATGATTATAATCGAGTGCTCCCTTCGAGAACGAATTCGAGTTTACTTTAACCGCAAAACGGGGAAACAGTCAATCACGGCGAACAATAAAAGGATCCCCCCCGAATACGATTATGATTTTGATTAACATCCGGAGAGCAAGTCGTCTGCTTATCGCGCGGGAGTTGCGATGACGTCAGAACGACGCCGAGCTGTGATTGGCTTTGGTTGAAAGGATAGTGGGTAGACCTCAATGCTAGATGCCTTGAGGTCTACCCACAATGTTTTTCAATCATCCAATAAGAGCTCGGCGTTCCGATGTCATCACGACCCCTGAGAAAGAAGCAGACGAACTTGGCGCTCCGCACACAAATAAACCGACGAACAAACGGACAAAGAAGAAAACGAGTGTTCAGGGACAATATACGTGATGCTTCGCATGCGAAATGCCCTTGCGCACATCGCTTTCTTCAGATTTAGTATTATTATGAGCTTCGTCATTGACTGGGATGCTTCTATTATTCGCCATGACTGTCTGTTCTCCTGTTGTGCACAAATACATACAACAAAGTTCTTTTTTTTATGTGTAGAGCGGGTGGTGTTTAATGCTGAGCCTCTGGTGCAGGTATGGGCCTACCCTTTGCCTTTCTTCGTGACGGCCTTTATAATGATCCTGCCTTTGCCATTCATCCTGAAGGGCGGCACAGTGCCTTTTCTCGAGCCAAAAGGTATGAACATATTCCGGACATTTTGGCACTTCTGGCCTTTCATTTTATCACTTTCGTATAGAATTACACGTCATCATAAATATTATAATTTAATTTTAAAGACGACGAAATTAAGCTTTATGTTTCATAACTATATGGTGATAAAGTTTGTAGAGGTAACTCAAATAATACTGACCATGTCACAAAAGAAAAAAAGTATCTAATATTTTCTCCCAAAAAAAATGAGAAAACAGAAAATAAACTCATAAATCCAGTGTACTATGCGTGTAGAAAAAGTGAACGGAAACCCGTACACAACATTTTAATCTTTAAAAGTTATCACAAATAAACTCTACTGTAGATGGTTGAGCGTGTTGGTTATTAATTCACGATAAGGAAAGAGGGACATTTAAGACAAACAGACAAGACAGGCTTTCGAAAGCCTGTCTTGTCTGTTTGTCTTAAATGTCCCTCTTTCCTTATCGTGAAGTTCTACTGCAACACCATCCTCTTTCCTCTATTTTAATGTATTGACTTTGTTGGTTACAGCTAATGTTCGCGTGGTTTAACTTATGAAGTAATATTTGTCTACTCAGAACTTTCTTTGAAAAGATTGCGGTGTATTTGTACCTCATAAGAAAGGGCAAATAGTTACAAACATTTGTCTTTGATATTTCTGTCTCCAATATTTCTAAAGCTGATATTTTCGTCAAGCTTTATGATGATAAAGTTAATTAAAAATATCTTTGGGTAGCAAAAAAAATAAATAAATAAAGCTCTCCGTATATAGAGAACACCACACCAGCACGTACGTACAACTCTGTGAAAGGCACTGAATAATCTAATGGACTCGCAAGTGAAGGTGCCGAAATTAGGCTTTCAGCCAAAGCTATTATATACGTTTACAAAGTGTACAGTGCGTTGTTGGCGATTAGTTTCCGAGTACCGGCTGAAGTCTAGAATCTAGACGTTCTCCGTTCTCTGGCCCTCGGTGTTAGCTAAGCGTCTTCCATTCATCCCAGTGAATATATTTTGTACGGTGTCCAAAACGCCATTGAAGACGCTAGGACCTTTCTAAAAGTGCAGCTATAAAAAACGCTTAAAACTTAAACCCGCATACGGAAATGTAAGCACAGTAAAATACGGTATACATTAAGTTAGAAATATAGGAATCGAAGGTATCCGTATGAATTATGTTGGCTACAATTGACCCGTACGAGCCGTGTTAACTAGGTTCATAAAAATACAAAGGCTTTGGTCAAGATAGGGATCTAAATTAACCCTTGGCCATTTTCGAGGACCAGCAGAACGCCCTTCGTTTGTTTAGTGCGCATCAAATTTTAAGGATTCAAAGAAATTCTGAAAAAAACTGCTGCATAACCGAAAATTTTTTGCACCTTTCAGCTGCTCCGGATCCGCAAGATGCGGCACATCCTCAAACAAATATGAAATTCATTCGGCTCCTTTGGGACCCCATATTCATCATAGACATGATCACACTAATGCTAAGTTGGGTCATCATGGGCTTCAACGAGCCGACGCTGGAGCCTTACCTTGTACAGGTTAGCTCTACAACTTTGCTGGGTCATGTAGCTACGCCTAAATATAGCTTCCGCTCCTAACTCAGAGTACAGTTTCATCTCAGCAGCACGGAAGTTGGCGTCGTCTTCATGGTGCAGTTCGTCAGCTACGCTGTCGGCGCGCTGATATCTGGACTTCTCTGCCACTTTAAGGTGAGTTTCTTATGAGACTTCTACAAGGAACTAGTACAAGTTTCTGTGGAAGTATACGTCGACTGCATGGTAATAAACACAGAAACGACAATTATTGCTGTTGTGTACAGACCACCTACCGGTAACGTGTACCGTTCTTTCTTAACTTTTTCGAAAATATGTTAGATTATCTGCTTGCTTTGCTCCTGCCTTTTGTGATTAAGGGCCATATAAGCATAAATATCAAATCCGATGAATAAGCGGCAAGACGGTTTCGAAACCTGCTGCTTGCTTACACTTGCACCAAAGTGATAACAGAGCCGACTCGAGTAACCGCGGCGACTACGACACCACTTGATGTTTGTGTTGCAAATATGAATGTTGCTGAGAAAATTCTTCGCGGCATTAGTGGTCACGGGCCTATTATTATTTTTTTAACATTTATCAAACGCGCTTACAATGACCACAATAAAAGTGAACACATTTTAAGAATACACGATTATTCACTTTTAAACATAAATAAACTAGCAGGGCGTTTTTGAATAGGAAGAGGTGAACAGGGCTTATAATGACTTTTATTCTAAACTTCAACTGTGCTATGACACAGCCCTCCCTCTGGTTACATATCGTGTCCAGAACAAAAAGATAAGAAAGCCATGGATGGATGCTAGCCTATTTAAGGAAATAAAACAAGAAAGATCGAATGTAACATTTTTGTAACACACTGCAATCGCGACGTTCTACTTGAATTTAAAAAAAACAACAAAGAAACAAGTTATAATGCACGTTTAAAAATGCAAAAAAAAAGATCATTACACAGGAAAGTTTTAAAATATCTAAAATGAACCCAGAAAAGTTTGGGAAGTGGTTAACTGGTTATCTGGAAGAACTAGCACGCCCATCCTTGTACAGAAAATCAAGATAGCTGACGTAAGGTAGACTGGCCAAGAGCTTGTTGAAAAAATGAATGAATACTTCATGGCTGTGGCTGAATGTGGAGAATTACTAAACATGACGGAAGTCAGTCCAACATATTAAAAAACAAAATCTTTAATTTATATTATGTTCTTTCCAACGACACCGAACAAAGTAGATGCAATGATCGCGAACCTAAAAAATTGCGCTGCGCTTCCTTTTGGGGATATGCAAACCCTTCCTATTAAGTAGGCACCATTAACGCTAAGTCCAATTGTATTCTATTTAATTAATGAAATGTTCATAACTGGGGCATTTCCTCATTAACTAAAATTTGCTAGAGTGACTCCAATTCACAAAGGCGGGGATCATACTTACTGTTCTAAAAACTATAGGCCTATTTCAGTCTTACCAATTCTACACTCTAAAAAATGCCCATGCGTCTACTTTCCCGCACAACACTCGGAGAGCCAATCACCGTGACTTACGGAGGCAGCTCAGCGAATGACGTTGCCGAAACATATGTTTCGACCAAAAACCGCAGTCTGAGTTGTTGACATTAAGCACTGCAAAACGTCACGCTCGCATAGCTTAATGTCACAACTCAGACTGCGGTTTTTGGTCTAAACATATCTTTCGGCATCGTCATTTGCTGATCTGCCTCCGTAAGGTGCGGTGATAGGCTCTCCGAGTGTTGTGCGGGAAAGCAGACGCACGGGCTTTTTTTAGAGTGTATCCATATTATTTGAGCGTGCCATCATGCATGGACTTGAAAAGAAAAATTTTTTTTGAAGCGTAACACAATAACTGCCGCACAGTTTGCCCTTTCAGAAGAATAAATCTACAAATCAGACTCTTATTCAAATTAAAGTTCAGACTATAGCAAATATGGAAAATAGGTTATACACACTAACCTATTTGTAGACCTTAAAGATTGTTTTATACGGTACAGCTGGATATTTTGTAAAGAAAGCTGAAGCACTGTGGTATTTGCGGAATAGCTTTAGAATGACTCAAGCGTTATCTTTAAAATCGATGGGAATATGTTAAAGTCGAAGATATGTCGCCAAACAATTTGTCAATTGAATATGGTGTCCCACAGGGTTCCAATATGGGCCATTACTATTCTTAAATTATGTTAACGATCTAGTAAATATTCCCGGTCCACCGAACATTGTCATGTAAGCAGAAGACACGTTCATTTTCTTTCCTGGACACATTAAACAACATCTGGAAGACATAACAAGCAGATTCTTGGTGAATTTGTCTCAGTGGCTAATATCAAATTAACTGCAACTGAACGAGTCTATAACCAAAGATGTTATTTTTAGGCCTATCAATAAACGTGATAACGACACCGTCACCGATAAATTTAATAATATAATCTTAAAACAAATAACAATAAAAATTTGTTGGGCTTTGGTTTCCGAAGGAATGAACATGAAACACACATGTTAGGCACATCAAAACACAGCTATCAAGTTCTCTAGAGTGTATGTATAGAATAAAAAAATTAAAAGAGCTCTGGCTGAAAAATCGCCTCTATCACTCAATGCAATATCCTCATCTTTCATATAGCATTTTGATATGCGTACTGCGACCATTAGAAACAATCACGAGCTTTCGGTACTACTAAAAAGGGTTCTACGCGTGTATGCTAATTACTCTGGAAACCTGCTGGACTTTGACTTTTTAAATTTAATTCAATTTTTATTATCAAATGAAGTCATACAAAATAAAGAGCTGGCCCACAAAAGCAGCATTCTGCTTGTATGTGGGGCCAGGCGAGAAACATTACACCTTACATAACATGCTAAAAGTAGATCAAGTTTATTATTTTAAACTAGCACAATTCGTGCACAGAAATAATCTATATATGAAATATAATGAAACTGGGGACGATCGTGGTTACTTTATCCGACAGACTAAATGGAAGAGGAATGAAAGCAAAACAAAGTATGACAAACAGAAACTCGACTACCAGATAACCGGCCTTCTGAATACCTTGTGAACAGAATGCAATTATGTAGATGGTTGAGCGTGTTGGTTATTAATTCACGATAAGGAAAGAGGGACTTTTAAGAGGGGGCGCACCTCAGAGCCCCATAGAGAATACATGAGGTTTTTCACCAAATTAAAAAAAATTCTCACATAATAACGGCTGCGCGGATCTTCTTGAAAATTTCGGCTTTAAAGACATTGAGTCATTATCGAGTCACTAAACGCAACAGATGTTTCGTCATAAATTTAATTATATTCTTTAAAAAAATCATGAAAATGGTCAAAATCGGCTAATTCGGCACTCTTGCGTTCGGAGCGAATTTACAAAATTATCTAAATTCAAACATAAGAAGAATTGCGTTTAATGTCTTCTAAATTTATTACGGAATCGAATAATATTCAAATTATTCATGTAAGTCCATTTGTTCCGTAACTACAGCAAATATAAAGAACCAAGGTGTCGGTGCTTGTTTTCGTCGTTTTTAAGGTACCTCTCTCTCCCGTGCGGTGGCGCTCGCTGTCCACGAAATGCGAAATCGTCCGTTCGGAGATCGGCCGGATCGGCACTGTGCGAGGTGTTCTTCCGCGGCCGTGTTCCGCGCCCGTATCCTGTTTCATTCTGCACGCCGAGGCGTCAGTGTGCGTGTCTTGCTTTCCTGGTTCTCGCTGGGTAGGTCTCCGTGTTTTCGCAAGTGGCAAATTCACCTTGGAGCTATGGGTCGAAGACAACCGTCCTGTGGCAAGCGGACCGCGAGGTGTTCCACAACCTCGCGGTCCGTCAACGCGTTGTGCTTGTTTCTACTTTTTTTTTTCTTTTAAAAACGGGCTTTTTTTTTTTTTGACGCAAAGTTTTATTTTATCGTTATCCTTCACACAAACGTCCTTCGGCCTTGGGGTCGTGGAAATTGGGGATGAAGCGTGCACAGAGTAGATCGTTGTTTTCCTCCTTTTTATTTTTCACGGACGTCCTGTGACCTCCGTACGGTTCGTGGTCACCACAATCTAACGCGGGGAAAAACGGGTCGCCTGCTCTGTAGTCAGGGTATTCCTAGGGGAGGGTGATAACTCGCTGTTCTTCTGGAAATTCACATATCACCCAAAAAGGTGACATGGGTAATGATTACGGTATGTTTTTTTCCGGTGTTTATTTTTGAGCGAAAATCGGTGCATGTTTTTCGGTGCTTATTTTTTAATCACCAGTGTATTATGGGTTGAACGTCTTGTGATGACGCTAAAAAGCGTTGATAACCAAAGAAAAATGCGATTGGACAAGAACATTTCAAATTTCCAATTCTATTCACATATCCATTACGCTCTTCTCGTGGGAGCATCTATCCTGACGAAAAATGCCAAAGTCATTGAGCTGTGAACGCATACTCAGTGTACAATCTTTCGGCCTAGAGAGGTATTGCGCACGCTCGAACGCGCTTCACAGCCCAGTAGACGAAGTTGGTGGCACCCAGAAGGCGAGTTCTTGAATGGTCTGTAGTAGGCAAAAGAAACAAATAACAATCAACGCATATCAGCTCTTCAAGCGAAGAAGCGCGTTTCTAAGGTCAATGGTTCCGGACGGCACTAATGTTGCTGGCGTTGTCGTAAGATGACGTCAGTTCATACGAACTGACGTCATCTTACGTGATGACGTGACACAAACACGTCATCTTACATGATCTCGTTACACGAAATGACGTCATCTTACGTGATCACGCTGCACGAAATGACGCCATCTTACGTGACCACGTAACACGTCATCTTGTAAGTCAACCTCTCCACACAGCAGCGCTTTCCGGGCCCGTGCAGTGCTGTAGTCGAAAGCAAGCTCCCTAAGGCAAGCGAAAGCTTCTGAAGTCTCACATTGAGAATACTCGCTAGCAACCGTCTGTGCAAGCTTCGCACGTTGAGGTTTTTGTCGAGATCGAGCCATCGTGTTCCATTAACTATAGTTGAAGTTATCGTTCAATAAAGCCCTAAAAAATATGAATGTAGTTGGTGTAGACATCAAGATCTAGTCAAAAATGCGGTTTGACGTCAATTAACGTGCATATACAAGTGTAGAAAAAAATGAGTTATTTGTGCATAGATGTTTAAAAAAGTGTTTATTATTC